GGGACGACTTTGTTTTATACTATATATACAGCGTGTCGTTACCATCGCGACAATAAATGAACACACTTCTAACGCTACTTGCCAATAATCATAAAAAAATATTAACGTTAAACAAAATCCATAATTAAAAAAAATATTTTTCAAACAAACTAATTAAGTAAAAAAAGAAACAAAATTTGTAACAGCCTATACAACTCGCGTCACAGCGTCGCATTACAAGCCTCTCCTTCTAACAGTATGTTTTGTCTCTTTTAAATTCATTCAACCCATTCATATGCTTTGTGTCCTTTACAAATGAACTTTACGTTACGCTTTTATAGGTAAGGGTGTTCTAAAATTCTTTGTTTTGGAAAATTTTATAACTCTGTAAATATCGATGTTTAAAGAATTTAAATGTTTAACACAACTTTAATAAGTTATCCCCTATATGTGTGTTCATTTATTGTCGCGATGGTAACGACTCGCTGTATATAGTGATAAGTGTTTTAACCGAAGGTCCATCCTAGTAAACGTCTCTACAGCTACCTTACTCGTATTTCGAACGATTAAGAGCATTGGTGATCATTTCCCACCGGGTTTTACTAAACGTGGTAGGGCACCTCAAGTGTTCACGGTGGTAGGGCCACGCAACAGTGTTCGCTGTTGTACGAATGGGCAGGTCCGTCCGGGTAAGTACCACGACCTCACAGAAGACCGGCGTAAGGTAGGAGTGTTGCACTTCTGCGTTTCGTGTGGTGAGTGAGGTAGCCGGAGCCCACATTATTAAGAGGTGGCAACGCGTCTGTAACCCTACGGGTGTTGCAAATGTCCATGGGCAGGCGGTTATCACTTAACATCAGGTTCACTGAATGAAGAATTCACTGTTGCACGAATTGGCAGGTCCGGTTGAGCCCCACGACCTTAATACCGGCGTGGAGTGGAAGTGTGTTCTTCTGTTTCTCCTCTGGTGAGTTTGGTAGCTGGGGGCCACTTTATTAAAAGGTGTATTCGCATCTCATATGCTTATCTATAGTTACCGTGTAAGAATTGCTGCCTCAAATTTGTCCCGTTTACGTCAGAAAGCTTACCGCCTGTCACCTTTCGAGACATGATAGTAGTATCTACTGACGGAATTCCGGCTCAATACAATAAATATAAGCATACATTCATAATACAAGATCCGACTTGCATAAATACACACTTAAATATACTTTTTTAAAACATTACATTAGGTTAACCTTATCCTGTATTGTGACGACGTTTTTTTGCTTGTATATAGTACACACAGTGCGTACTTAACATACGACACGACTACGATACTTTTAAATTTACCTATTATTATGGTACAAAAGTTGAGCAGATCTGGAATATTAAAAATTAATATAATTTAAACAATATATCTGATGATATATCTATTGATGACTCCATGGCGCAGTTGCCAACGTATTGGCTTCGGCGTCAGGGGTCGTGGGTTCGATTCCCACACGGGAAAACTATTTGTGTGACCCACAGATAGTTGTTTCGCATCTGGGTGTTTGTCTGCGTGAAATTTATATTTGTAAAACGTCATTACAAAACAGGATAATATTATCCTAAAGTAAGCGCAATGTTTTATAACTACTAAGACTAAGAATATCTTTAGAACAAATATGTAAAATAAAACACGTGTTACCCGAATTTAACTTTCAAGTAGAATAGGGGTTTCGGAGATTATTTTCTTTTCATTAATTTATTTAAGTGTGATGTAAAAAAATCTTATATTACGCCACCATTTAGTAGCAATAGTAAATGAACCACTGCTTTGAGAAATTTGATTATTTCATCGGTCGATAAGCCCGCGGCTTCGCTCGTCCTTGAATTTTATTTTGTAGTTCATAATTCGGCTTAAAGAATTATGGAGTCCCGCAGGAGAGATATATGATAAATATGATGCAGACCTCCCACGGGAACCATTCTGTTGATTGGAAAAAGAAAGTTAAGTCAAAAAAACATTCATTGCTCAATGAAAATGAGGACAAACCATCAAAGAAGTTATCGCTTTAGCTATATTAGTACGACCGCTTTGAGATAGAATACTAGATAGGTACCAGTATACAAACAATTTCAAATACCGTTTTACAACGATAATTCGAACGAGAAATGTCGCCATTACTATATTAAAATTAAAATTTTTATAGTGCCAATTTCTGCACTTAAGATGAAAGATTAAAATTTTGCTAATCGTTGCACTTAAGACAAACCATTAAAAGTTGTAGAAACTTTTCTACAATTTTTTATGTTTCATTTTAAGTGAAGAGATTGGCACTACAAATAAATATATTATTACAAAAACTTTAACACGCCTAAAAGATTAAAATAATATTCAACGATTAGTAAACGTTTCGTAAATGCTTCAACTTTTTCTGATGTGGAGACTGTAGAGCCCAGTTTTTTTTTCTTCATATTACGCTCCTAATAATATCTCTACATGCCTTAGGGCGTAACGAAGTTATGGTGGGACCAACGTGTGAGATTGGAATTCCGTCTCAAGTGAACCGGATTTTCGATGCGGCGTTAAGATTTATAACTGGCTGCTATTACACTAAATTGATACACTGGACGGCGAAAAAAGTAACAAATTTTATATCGCAGCTGTCGTGATTACAGGCCACCTAATTGAAGGTAATACCAAATTAAGGACTGATGTGTAATTGCAGTGTCAATAGAACACAGTGAAATTTTGATTGTCACCGTTGCCAAGCTGTTGGCTTCGATGGGGATCGCGGGTTCGATTCCCACACGGGACAAGTATTTGTGTGACCCACGGGTAATTCTTCTGGATCTGGGTGTTTGTTCGCCAAGGAGGGTTGACGTCAGGCAGGCCAAAACCGCTTACAACATGATTCACATGTTCTGCCGATCCCACGTATGTGGAATAACGGCAAGAGGATGATGATGAAAGTGAAATTGTGTTATAATTAAACAAATTGTATTTATGTTATATTTCATAAGATTGAACCTGATTACTCTAACCTAATTATTCTCGCATTGAAGATTCATTGTAAGAGTGTAAAAATATAAGTTTCTTATTCCTTTTTATTCTTAATAATGTAAAGTCTATTTAAGGTCAAGTCTAAAGTAAGGTCTATTTTTTAATACAAATAAGCATAATTATGCAATTATGCAATGTCCGTTGTTTGTGTACAATAAAGTATATTTCATTCATTCATTTCATTCATTCATTCATAATTATTTGTGGACGACTTGTAATGATCTACTTCAATAATTAAATATAATAAATTTAGGGACTCTTTCTTTACTTTTACTGTTCTTGCTTTAAGTAGAGACACCTTGTTTTAGTTGAGTTACACACTTGAGTTACACAAGTATCAGGTGGCCCGCCTGCTCGTTTAACAAATTTCCTCTTAAAAAAGGCACCGTAAAATCGAGTATTGGATATAAATTTCAATTACATACTAAAGGTACATATTTACTGAGTACAGTGTATAGTAAGAGTCAGACACACGGATAACATATGATACTTTGTGGTGTTAAGTTTTTACAATTTGATTTTAAAAATATTACACTCTACACAGACGAAACTGTACGCAGATGTAAAAAACAACTCGTATTAATATAAATTTGTGTAACGTAACTGAAAAATTTGCATTAAATATGTGTGGCAATTAAAGAAATTCGGTTTAATTATTCCAGAAGTTACCCACTACCTGCATACAAACGAACTTAATCTGTTTATAATGTGAGTAGATATATATCTCTCTAAGATATTTTTCTCTAGGAGGGCGAAATTACAGAAAGCCAGTTTTCAAAGCAAGACAGCTAACGTGTGAACCACTTGGGCGTCCATAAAAATGCCAATAGTCGGTCTACTTCTGCAGTCGGTCGTAGCCGTGCCGTCGGGGCGGTCATTAATTTCCATTCAGTGTCGAATCGCGGACGTATGTTGTTCCGAACGCGCCCCAAAGGGAGAGAAAATATGGGACCAGGTGGGTGGTTTCAAACAAACTTAGGCTCGGTACTTCGTTTTTGTACTTACACTTGTCTTGCGTACTTTCGTGATCGTCACGTGTACTGCGTACTAACACTGCGTTTACAACACATGTCTTTTAGAAAAATCTAAATATGTGTTATATCAGAATCTTTTAGTATTTATTATCAGCCTAGAGTTTTATTTCTCGACTTCTACTATCACAAATCCATAACGTTTTGGATATGTGTATGTTCATAGCTCCACTCTCCACTGACATTATTAAAATACTTTTTTTTTATGTGAAAAGTTGCCAAGCGAGCAGACGGTTCACCTGATGTTAAGTGAATACCGCCACCCACTGCGTCCACTGTGTGAACGGTGCAAATTAGCACTTAAATATTAGGGCACTATGCCAGCTATGATAAACACTTCGATATCGCTCACGTACATGTTTATATGTCGCAGGCAGTCGCTTAAGGAAATTACAACAAGGCCCGTATCCCGGAGCGGCCTGGAACGGGATATGATTAATTTAACACGTGCATCCGCCCCGCGAAGTTCGCGGATTATGCTAAATAGTTTATGTTTGAACGTGACAACTTCCCATTTGTCGGTTGTCGGTTGAGTTCCATCTCTTATTTCTCATAGTAGCTGTTCACAAAAACTACTACTCCCCCCCCCCCCCCCCTGGGCTGGGGCCAGGTCCTGGGTGGACACAATATAGATTTTAAGTACCTTCAATATTTAATTACTTACATTACTTTCGTTACGAACAACTGCTATCATGAACTGTTTTAAGTGCAAGAAAAGTCTCGATGAAAGGGATGTCATTAAATGCACGGGTTGCAACATGTATATGCATTATCATTGTGCAGAATTATCTGAAGCGGAATTTAAAAAAATACTGCCTATGAATAAGATAAAGTGGAAATGTGTCTCTTGCAAAACTAAAAGGACTGTAGGTGCGCCAGCAGCGTCCCCATCATATAAAACTAAAGAACTTGCTTCCACATCAATTCTAAACATTGACACCGACACCTTTACCGAATACATGGATGCAAAGCTTAACAGTCTACGCCAGCAGTTGCAGGAAGATTTACATCTAGCTATACTAAAGGTATCTAAAACATTTAAAGAAGACATTGATAGACTTGAAAAACGAGTCGTCACCTGGGAAGAACACATCAAGGACCTAGAGCAGGGTATAGCGGTTGCGTCATCTGGTCCGGACGCGTCTCTGAAACATGAAACTAGCGAGCTTCGGCTAGAACTGCAGAAACTAAGTACTAAGTTCGATGACCTCGATCAAGCCTCACGCAGCTGCAATATAGAAGTACAGAACATACCTGAAAAAAAGACTGAAAACCTAATCCACCTCTCTATGGAGATTGGCAAGCTCATTGGTGTTGATATCAAGGAAAGTGACATCCGATCTGTTCACCGTGTGGCTCCTGGGGTACCCTCCAACCGTCCAAAAAATATTGTACTGCAGCTGACTACGCGGCGTTTGCGTGACGACGTGATAGCTGCAGCGCGTGCGCGCCGTTCTTTATCTACAGCCCAACTCCTTGGTTCCCCTAACAGTGCCGCCGCCGCAGCACAAAGCACGCGCTTCTATATAAACGAGCACTTAACACTTAAGAATAAAATATTATTTAGTAACGCTCGGCAACAAGCTAAGGCTAAATCCTATAAATATGTGTGGATTAAGAATGGGTGTATCCTGTTACGAAAGAATGATGATTCTCGGGTAATTCACGTTCGAAATTCTATGGACTTAGACAAAATATGACTATTTCTTGATTGTCATTGTAATTTCTTAACAGTTACCATATTACACATATTTTTATTTACTAGGAACATAATTTTCACGCAGGTTAGTCAATGTGGAGAGCATTTATCTTTGTCACTGTGGAGCAGGAGCAACAATAAAATTTTAGAAATATTTAAACTAGGATACATAAAAACATTAATAATTATTTCAATCTTACTGTACAATATATTCCGGTAATTTATTAATTTATTATCAAAATTGTGGAGGTTTAAAAACGAAAATTACAGTACTTAAAATTGAACTTGCTTACTTGTAATTACGATATTATAGTCTTGGTTGAAACTTGGTTGTCAGATACAATTTTGGATTCTGAAATTCAAACAAATGGATGTAATATTTTTCGACGTGACCGTAACTTAATTTTGTCAAATAAGAAGAGTGGCGGTGGTGTGTTGGTTTTGGTAAAAAAATCGATTGTTGCTGTCAGAAAACTTGATTTGGAAGCTGTTGACTTGGAACAAATATATCTTTTTTTCCCATTTCATTCTGGGTTGTTACTCTGCGCGTGTTATATACCACCAGTGTCTATAACTGCTATATATGAAAAATTATTTTATAAGCTTTACGAAGTTCATTCTAAATCCTTATTTTCAAATTATTTAGTTATCGGAGATTTCAATCTACCGTCCTTAGAATGGTATTCGGACGACACGTCTGAGGGCATAGGGCCAATTAACGCAGTAACTGCTACGGCTAAACTATTGTCGCACGTCATGTCTTTCATAAATTTCAAACAAATAAACAAAATTAGAAATGAAAATAGTAGAATACTCGATCTTGTCTTATGTACTGCATCAAATTGTACTGTTGATGTTTCCTGCGACCACTTCTGACTGCTGTTCCGCATCATCCACCATTAGATATTTTGTACGCAATATCTTCCACTTCTATAACTATACCTATCAAAATAAAATCAAAAAGAAACTTTTTCAAAGCTAATTACGATGTAATAAATAAGGAGATCGTGGAAATTGACTGGCATTCAGACTTGAGTTCTTCCTGTATAGAAACTGTGGTTGACATATTTTACAAACGGATAAATCATATTATTGAATCACACATTCCTCATGTCCCACAGAGATCGTACAAATACCCTGTATGGTTTTCTAAAAGCTTAATTTATACACTCAGACGTAAATACAAAATATGGATGAGATGGAAAACATACAAGTCATTACGTGACTACCAAGAATTTTCTTTACTGCGGAAACGGGTAAAGCTTCTCATATCCAAATGCTATACTACCTACATAGAAAACGTTGAATCCTCAATAAAAAATAACATAAAATCATTTTGGAAATATACATCGAACCTAAAAGAAAGTAATCCCGGATATCCTCGTGAAATGAAACTAGGTTTTGAAACTTCTGATGACCCTAACACCATATCAGAATTGTTTTCACGGTACTTTAAATCTGTATTTGAACCAGCACCTAACGGTGCTTACACTGTTTCGGAAGATGTGGACGAAAATACCAATCAAACTAATCTGAATTATATATTTATCGCTCAAATTGAAGTTTGTAAAGCCTTAAAAAATATAGATCCGAATAAGGGTGCTGGACCAGACAATATTAGCCCAGTTTTTCTAAAACGAACCCATAAAACAATCTGTATTCCTCTTAGTATAATTTTTAATAAGAGTTTAACATCCGGGAAATTTCCAAGCGTGTGGAAGTTAGCATATATAACACCCATTCATAAAATAGGATCCAAGAAAGATGTTGAAAACTACCGTCCAATATCTATTCTCTCGTCAATTCCCAAAATATTTGAGAAATTAATTCACCACCATGTGTACATGGCCTGTAAGAATAATATTTTAGAGGAGCAACATGGATTTGTGCATGGCAAATCCACTCTTACAAATCTACTCGTATTTTCAAACTTTCTTTTTGATAGTTTAGACCAAAAAAACACAGGTAGAAGCTATTTATACTGATTTTAAAAAGGCATTCGATAAAGTTGACCACATGCTTCTCTTAAAAAAATTGTCGTTTAACGGTATCAAAGGTAATTTGCTGCGTTGGTTTGCCTCCTACTTACAAAATCGCAATCAATCAGTAGTTGTTAATGGCTTCACTTCATCTAACGTAGTAGTTACATCGGGTGTTCCGCAAGGATCAATTCTTGGGCCTCTGCTTTTTGTTCTTTTCATTAATGATATCTCTTCGTGTTTTAAGTATTGCAAATTTTTATTATATGCTGATGATCTAAAACTATATTCCACTGTTTCGAAAAGAAATGATATAGATTTTATACAAAAGGACTTGGATAGTTTAGATAATTACTGTAAAACTAATAAATTATTTTTGGCTTATAATAAATGCAAACATATTACATTTACTAGAAACAAAAATGTTCTTGCTAATAACTTGCATATTGGATTCTATAAGCTGAGCTCACAATCCAGTATACGGGATCTTGGAATTATATTGGATACAAAACTTACACTTGATCAACACGTTGAACATATATTACGTAAATCGTATCAAATGCTAGGTTTCATAGCTCGCGTAACAAGATCTTTTAAACGCAAAGATAGTATTATCTGCCTGTACCAGTCTTTAGTCAGATCTCATTTAGAATATGTGTCTCCTATTTGGAACCCTTATTATGCAGTATATGAAGCTAAAGTCGAAATTATACAAAAAAAGTTCCTACGTATGCTTAATTATCGTATGCATTGTCCCAGTGATTCCTATAAAAATCTCTTACAAAGATATCATATGCTGTCCTTGACTGATCGACGTTCTCTAATAGACGCTTCCACTCTTAGAAACATCTGTACTGATGATATCAATTGTCCAGCTTTATTGTCTCAAAATAAACTTCCGAATACCGTCAAAAACAACACGTTCGAAAAATTTATTCCATGTATCTGCAACCAGAACCAACATTGGCAAACGCGCGCCACTGAACCGTATGTGCGCCCTCCACAATAAAATGTTAAATAATTTAGATATGTACTCTTGCTCCCGCTTAACCTACAAGAACTCTATTAAAATGCTTCTCTATAATAAATAGTTTACCCTCAATTGTAATACTCACGTACTTGTGTTTCAATATATTTTATTATTTTATACCTCCAATTACGCATGATTGTACTTTCTTCTTTCTCTTTCTTGCATTGTTTAAATTTTATTGTGTCCTTTGTAATTGCAATAGTTCTGCCGTAAGTGTGCTACCGATAAATAACAAATTTGTTCTCAGTGAGACATTAGTTAAGGGAGCAGCTGTAAATATCCGCATGCTGTATGTTCATTTTTTATTTTTTATTTTGTCTTCTGTTCCTGTTTGTCTCCGATACAGTAAATAAATAAATAAATAAATTAATTTAATATAATATTTTTAACCGACTTCAAAAGGAGGAGTTACTCACTTGGATTGGTATATTTTTTTTTTTTTCGATGTATGTACGATTACGTTCAGATTTATGATCCGATTTATGACGAATTTAACATAGTTTGGCCAAGTAGTTTTCATTTTATGAACATTTTTACAATATTTTAATGTTTGATCATTAAATCTTGCAAATTAAATTTGATCCACTTTCCGGTTACCGGTTGAGCTGAAAGTTTGTATACATATGTAAATCGCGAGACAATGCAATATTATTATGATATGGTGCTGGTCTGATGATGGACTCTCTTATAATAAAGTGGGCCCTGGCTACCTCACTCACCAGACAAATCGCTGAAGTACTTTACGCCGGTCTTCTGTGAGGTCTATGAGGCTATTCTGTTAACCCGTATCCCGACAAGTAGTCTTAGGCTACTTGTCACTGAAGTGGAGCTAGCGTGCGGAGTAGAGAAATTGACAAATATTATAACCAATACGACTACATAAAATCTGGTAACGAAGAAATAAATAAAAAGAAATTTCAAAAATAATTAAGCCTACCCTATAGCTACTTAAAAAATACTATTTAATATAATGACAATAAGAAGCATCGAAATGTTATAGTTCATCTGATGTAATCTAGAAAAATCCTACTCTAGTTTATAGAACAACCGATTACAGACATAAAATAACTTAATAACGATTTAATTTAATACACCTCTCATGCAAACCTAATACCTTTAATATTAATAAATTACGACTTCAAAACTATCAATAAGTAGCACATACAAGTACTTGTACAAGTACTTTATTAAGTTATTTTGTACCTTTTAGTTTTTGAAGTCGTTTTTTAAATGTAGTTTATTTTTTATTTTTTTATGATTAGAAACGCATTATTCGGGAACGAACGCATCGAAAATTTGAATTTTATCGCGCCACCGTCACCTTTCATCTGATGTCAAAATTCGTGTTACACTTACACTGACACGTCGTGACAAAAAAAAATTATAATATAATAATCTTCGATAAAAAATAAAAAAAACTTCAATGCAAAACTATTGCGCGACACAAAATCATTGCGTTTTATTAACGAGAGTTTACAACAAGTAAATAGTAATATTAATTACCTACCTACTACTTTTTACTACGAGATGAGACTACTAATAATTAAAAATGACTCTGCTACTTTAATTTAATGGTGGGATTTTTGGTAACTAACCTAAACAGATAACGCGTTTCGGGAGAAGACGTAAAAGAAAAATTGATTTTGTTATTTAAATATAGGCATTTTCAATAACACTAAGTATACTTGTAAGTAGTTTTGTAAGTAGTTTTTTAACAAAAAAAGAATCGACTTAAAATAAAATTATGTACGTAAGTATTACAACGCTACATGCAAAACGATGCATATTTATGCGATAGAAGCAAACACGGTTGATTTCC